CATCACTTGAAACAGCTGTCCAGCCACACTCAGCCTAAGTCAGCCAAAACACAGGCAACCTAAAGATCCATAAGCATGAGAACAAAGGCTTGTTTTAAGTTATAGAGTTTTAGGGGTAATTTGTATCACCATATTATGGCAATAGCTGACTGACGTATTATCATAACTGGCTCATACCTGAAAATATACTAATGCCTTCTTACTGGTTCAAAGGTATTTTGTTTTAACCACAAGTTGACTTATTTAAAAAACCGTAGATTTTTGTTGAGAACCCAACATGAATGATGCACACTTGTCTATTTAAGAACATATAGCCTCGATTTATGAGAGAAATACAAATCAAAACTATATTAAGTACCACCTCACATGAGTCCAAATACCACCAATAACAAGTCTACAATAACAAAAGCTTGAGAGGATGTGGAAAAAAGGGAAACCTCCTACACTGCTGGTGGGAATGTAAATTGGTACAGCCACTATGCAGAATAGTATGGAGGTTCCTTATAAAGCTAAAAATTAAACTACCATATGATCTAGAAATCCCACTCCTAGGCATATATCCAGAAAAAAGCTCTAATTCAAAAAGATGCACGCATCTCAATGTTCACAGAAACACTCTTTACAATAGCTGAGACATGGAAACAATCTAAATGTTCATCAACAGGTGAACAGATAAAGAAGATGTGGTATATATACACAATGGAATACTACTCAGCTATAAAAAGGAATGAAATAATATCATTTGTAGAACATGGCTGGACCTAGAGATTGGCATATTAAGTGAAATATGTTATACAGAGAAAGACGAATATATGATATTACTTATATCTGGAATCTAAAATATGACATAAAAAAAATAAGCTTACTTACAAAGCAGAAACAGACTCACAGACATAGAAAACAAACTTATGGTCACCAAAGGGCAAAGAGGGTTAGGGGAGGATAAATTAGGAGTTTTGGATTACCAGATACAAACTACTACATATAAAACAGATAAACAACAAGGTCAGAATGTATAGCACAGAGAAATATATTCAACATACTGTAGTAAACCATTATGGAAAGGAATATGAAAAAGAATACATATATATGTGTGTGTGTGTGTATATATAACTTAATTATTTGCTGTACATCAGAAACTAGCACAACATTGTAAATCAACTCTATACTAATTTGAAGAAAGAACATATAGCTTCTAATAGATAAGGATTCAAGAATCTACCAATATATGGGCTTGGTGGGAGATAAATTCCTGACTACCACTACCACTCCAAAAAATGGAGCCCAAACTGCGGCTATTTATATTTCTTAACCCCTAGCAATTAGAACCTAGTTATATGACTGAAGCATGCCTTATTATAAAAGTTGGCAATTTATGGCCCTCCAGCAAAATTTGACCTACTGCCTGTCTTTATAAATAAAGTTTTACTAGAATAAACCATGCCCATTTGTATATGTATTGTCTAGGGTTTCTTTCACCCTTCAACAGCAGACTTGAGTAGTTACAACAGAAATTATATGACCTGCAAACACTAAAATATTCACTAATTGGCCCTTCAGAGGAGAAAAAAAAACAACAACAACTACTTTATCTGGCAATTCTGTAAGCAGGGGAATACATGTTAATCCATGGCTGATTCATGTCAATGTATGACAAAAACCACTACAAAATTGTAAAGTAATTAGCCTCCAACTAATAAAAATAAATGAAAAAAAAATAAAATTAGTGACACAAAAATAAGTAATAATTTTGATACTTTTGGGAAGTGATAGTTGCAACTGCTATAGAGGGGCAATGGTATCTCTGGTGTACCAGTGGACCATGGCTATGATAACAGCTTATGATTCAGATTTGTCTTGTAGTTTGATGCTTGGTGTGTTTCTGGGTACGTGTATCAGGCTTCCTTGACAATTTCTGCCCATATTTACATCTGGATCCAAGGCCTTTCCATCGATTCTATGAGTTACCTGATACTCTTCTAATTATATAATTCTACCTAAGGCAATTGGAGTTTCTTTCTGTTAGTTGTAACTCAGAACTTTGAATGGTCCATTGACCTTGCTTTATTCCTGACTCAGAGTAAGATGTTCCTTTTCCACTCCCCAGGGATCTTGTTCTCACCCTCCAGCATTGCTTGTATCTATCAACCTGTAATTTATTGGCTGTTTGTCCATTTTCTCTCTAGCACTGGGAGGTTCTTCAAATCAGGGACTGAATTTAAATCAGCTCTCTATGGTGCTCAGGAAAATGCGAGAGCATATAAGAAAGAATTAACAGGCATGAAGACTGTCAGAGCCAGGAGACCATTATGTTTATCATCAAAATTGCCGAGCTTGACTGAGTCATTATAAAAAGCAATACACTTAACACTCGACATACACTGTATCATTTAATCCTCATAACAACTCTATGACTTAGTAAATATTTTTGTCCCATTTTATAGATAAAGGAATTGTGGAGGATAAAGGTTAGGGAGCTTGCTCAAGGACATAGAGCTAGTCAGCAGCAAAGCCAGGATATCAAAGCAAGTTGAACTCTAGGGTCTGTACTCACACACAATAACTTAAAACAGTTTTACCCAAGACTAGACTACAGTCACATGAAATTTAGCAGCTCCTGACCAATTCTTAGAGAAGTCCAATTAGAGTAAAATGAAGCTACTTTTCCGGCATCTGGATAAGTAAAGAGTGAGGCTACTGGGGTTAGTGACACTCCATCATTTGCCAGACATAGGAAAGAGCCCACCCAGATCCAGGGTGAGAATTCAGCTTACTCTCTCTGTAGAATGGCATTAGAGGATCTGCGTTTTTTCAAGTCTATGGTTGAAGGTGAACTGAAAGGTAAAGAGCTGCATGACTGTTAGAAGGAAATACGTAGCTCAGTGACAAAAGATGACCAAAAGTGGGGGAGAAGACTCAGAAAGCAGAAAGTCTCACCTCAGCCTTCCTGCAAGAGTGGTCAGTGCCTACAGAAGCACGTAGCCACTGCCTATCCGAGAACCCTGGAAGTTCTTAGACGATAGTGTTGGTGGCCTGGATGGCTGGAAGAAAACCCTGAGAGAAGACAATAGAGACGCAAACATCCCCAACATGGAATGAGCACCCCAAAAGAGGGTGACGAAACTGACCTCATCGAGTAACTTGCAGAAGTTCATTTTGACTTAGTATGGGATACTGAGAGATATATCATGATGGAATGATAAATTTGTCTTTTGCAGTATACACATAGGACTGCTGAGTTTCTTTCCCTTTATCAAGAATGGCTATGGATACCCTGGAACCAGCTGTTTTCCAGTAAGTTGAGATAAAACTATTAGACAGTCCAGGGGAAAATATTCTCAGGCTTCCTGGTGGGGGATTCAGTTCAGATACACTGAACATCCAATTCATGCTTAGTACTACTATCTTAGTCCTGAACATATCACATAAAATAAAGCATATATCTGTCTTTCAGGAGCTTGTGCAGGAGACATAAAAGTAAAAAAAGATGTTGCTGTATAGGAAATTCTAGGAAAAGGTCACTTTGGAGCAGGGGCACCCCAGGTGGTACTAGTGGTAAAGAACCTGCCTGTCAATGCAGGAGATGTAAGAGACATGGGTTTGATCCCTGGGTTGGGAAGATCCCCTGGAGGAGGGCTTGGCAACCCACTCCAGTATTCTTGCCTGGGAAATCCCATGGAGAGAGGCACCTAGCACGCTATAGTCCATGGGGTTGCAAAGAGTTGGACACAACTGAAGTGATTTAGCATGCACCTACTCTACAGGTAGCCACTGAGTCTGGCAACATTTGCAAATATATAAATTGTATGCTGATATTATATTATATTAATGTTAAAATGATATCTAAGTTTCTAATATAAGCTAATATTTTTAGGGTTTTAAGAAGGAAATAACATTTGACATGAGACTTGAAGGCAGGTAGGCCAGAGGGGGCAGAAGACATTTGGAAATCTTTAAATCGAATACTGCTAGAGCAGAATTCAGAGGAGTTGTAGGCAAGCAGGAGTTGATACACAGTGAGGTTGACCACATGAGCAGGGATCATGTGAAAGCCTTTTGTTCCAAATTAATGAATCTAGACTTTATTCTAAAAGGAATGAGGTGATAGCACTTAAGTTCTTACATTTCAGAAAAACAATTCTGAATGAAAGATAACTGGGAGCAAAGAAGGCATCATCATTGGAAACACTGAGATTTATGCTAGAAGTATTGATTTAGGAATCTAATGTAGTAAATTAAGAACAAAAAATGAAGTAAAAACATCAAGAAATGGACAGATCTGAGAGATATTAAGGAGATTCCTTGTAATTATTAAACACGATTTTATTTCCTCCAAGAATAATGAAGAATACTGTCTTGAAACAACTCTTTGAAAGAAACTGCTTTAAGCCATTACAATTTTATTATGTTTCACCTAAAATTGGAAGAGGAAACAACACCTTCTTGTGGTCAGAGGCTAAGAAATCTATGTGTATTTTAAAACTTTGGTCAACAATTAGATATTTTAATTAAGGAAGCATGAAAAATTAATAATTTTAAATCAAGTTCTTTGAGACAAAAAAATAGGGAGACGTAAAATGTAAAAGGTCAACTTCGTGTTGCTAGCTTATATTTCCAATATATTAATGTAATTATATCAAACTATTATAAATCTATAGGATACAGAGTTGACCAAAAGTATACAAATTATACTGCACAATTATTTAAACCACCTCAATTCAATGACCAAATCGGTTTTGGCATGACCTGAAATTTTTGAGGATATTATAGTGTTCCAACATGATGCTAACTTTAGTTCTGAAAAATTTCTTGAATTCAGCTCATTAGTTTCAACTATATCACCATTTGTTCTGGTTCCACTTACCTTTCTCCAGTGATAGTGATACATCTCCCTCTCTTCCTCCCTCTCTCTTTTTTCATGAAGAGCATGGACATGAACTCTAGAATTCCTGGGAGATAGGTGTAATTGTTTCCTTTAGTAAAAGGAAAGTGGTACCTACCCTTGTCGGTCCTTGTACATTTTGTTCACTCTTTCCCATTGGAAGTCGAGCCTGGAGAGAGCTTCCTGTAGCCTTGCCTTTTCCGGGGGTGTGGCGCTTTGCAATGCTGCTGCCTTCTTATTATGAATGACATCAATCCGACCCGAGATTTGTTGCAGGTTGTCTTTTATATTCTGCAATATAAATTTTAAAGCAAGTCAGAAATGATTCAGTTGTCTATGAAAAGAGAAGAAAGGAAATGTATCAACACCCAGAGTAACTCACAGTCTTGCATTTTTCATTTCCTGACTTTTAAAAGTCATTAGCCTTGAAGCCCACTGATTTCAACATGCCCAATCTGAATGGGTAATTCAGTCTTCATCTTGATACTGGCAATCACTCCCTCTTTCCTAAAACTCTATCTTTGTTTGGCTTCTGTAGCCTGAATTCTTCTGTTTTTTCTTACACCTTCTTGTCCACAGCTTCTCAGTCTCCTTTACAGAATCTTTCTACTCTTTTTTTTTCATTTAATTTTATTAGTTGGAGGCTAATTACTTTTTTCCACTCTTACTAATCTCTTAATATTGGAGTGCCCTAGCATAGATATTTCCTCGTCTATCTATGTTACCTCCTGTTTGGTCGTGTGACTTTAAATAATCTCGATATTGCAATGCTCAAAATTCTCCAAGCTAGGTCTCAAATAGTACATGAACCAAAACCTCTCAGATATTCAAGATGGATTTAGAAAAGTCAGAGGAACTGGAGATCAGACTGTCAACATCCAATGGATCACAGAAAAAGCAAGAGGATTCCAGGAAAACATCTACTTCTGCTTCATTGACTACATTAAAGCCTTTGACTGTGTGGATTACAACAAACTGTGGAAAATTTTTAAAGAGATTGGAATATTGGACCACATTATCTGACTCCTGCAAAACCCGTATGCAGGTCAAGAAGGCAATAGTTAGATACAGACATGAAACAACAGACTGGTTCCAACTTGGGAAAGGGGTATGTCAAGGCTGTATAGTGTCACCCTGTTATTTAAGTTATATGCAGAGTACATCATGCAAGATGCTGGGCTGGATGAAGCACCAGCTGGAATCAGGATGGCCAGGAGAAATATCAATAACCTCAGATATGCAGATAAAACCAATCTTATGGCAGAAAATGAAGAGGAACTAAAAAGCCTCTTGATGCTGGCTTAAAAGCCAACATTCAGAAAAGTAACAATATGGCATTTGGTCCCATCACTTCATGGCAAATAGATGGGGAAACAATGGAAACAGTGACAAACTTTATTTTCTTGGACTTCAAAATCACTACAGACAATGACTGCATCCATGAAATTAAAGGGTGGGATGGGGAAGGAGATGGGAGGGAGGTTCAAAAGGGAGGCGATATATGTATACCTATGGCTGATTCTTGTTGAGGTTTGATAGAAAACAACAAAATTCTGTATAGCAATTATCCTTCAATTAAAAAAATTAATTAAATTTTAAAAAGACCCCTGCTCCTTGGAAGGAAAGCTATGACAAACCTAGACAGCATATTAAAAAGTAGACACATTACTTTGCTGAAAAAGGTCTGTATAGTCAAAGCTATGGATTTTCCAGTAGTCATGTATGGATGTGAGAGTTGGAGCATAAAGAAGGCTGAGCACTGAAGAATTGATATTTTTGAACTGTGGTATTGGAGAAGACTCTTGAGAGTCCCTTGGACTGCAAGGACATCAAACCAGTCAATCCTAAATGAAATCAACCCTGAATCTTCATTGGAAGGACTGATGCTGAGGCTGAAGCTCCAGTCCTTGGGCCACCTGATGTGAAGAGCTGACTCACTAGAAATGACCCTGATGCTGGGGAAGATTGAAGGCAGATGGAGAAGGGGACAACAGAGGACGAAATTGTTGGATGGCATCACCGACTCAATGGACATGGGTTTGAGTAAGCTCCAGGAGATGGTGATGGACAGGGAGGCCTGGCGTGCTGCAGTCAATGGGGTTGCAAAGAGTCAGGCATGACTGAGTAACTGAACAATAAACGTGACAATGACTCCCCAACTTACATCTCCAGCCATGACCTCAACTCTGAAATCCATACTCATACTTCCAACAACTTTCTTGAGGCTTGGATGTCTCAGGAGCATCTCAAACTTAACATAGCCCCAGCCACATTCTGAACAGCATCCCCTTATCCTTCTCTTCCCATTATTTTCCTCATTTCAGTAAATGACATATCAATTAACAGTTATTCAGGTTAACAACCTTGGAATCCTCCTTGATCCTTCTTTTTTAATCTCTATATTCATATTACTGGATGATACTATAGACTCTACTTCCAAGAACACGTCCAGAATTTGACATCTTCTCATCATCTCCCTTGTTATAAGTCTGATATAAGCTACCCTTGTCTCTCACCTGGATTATTCCAATTCCTACCTAAATGACCCTCCTCATCAATTCTTGACCCTTTTCAATCAATTCTCCACACAATAGCCAAAGAAATTTGTATGAAACACAAATCAAATCATATTACTTCATTTCTCAAATGCTCCTTATCAAATTTATTGTTTGTCCACGAGGCACAACTTGTGGGATGTTGGTTCCCTGAAAAGGGATTAAACTTGGGCCCCAGAGGTGAAAGTACCGAGTCCTAGGCACTGGACCAGGGAAGTCCCAAACCCAGAGTCTTCATCAGGGCCTACAAAGTTCTGCACAACTTGGTTGTATGCTGCCTGCCATTCCAGTCTTACTTTTTCCTTAGTCTCCTCCAGAAAGTGAAAGTCGCTCAGTCATGTCCGACTCTTTGTGACCACATGGACTATACAGTCCTTGGAATTCTCCAGGCCAGAATACTGGAGTGGGTAGCCTTTCCCTTCTCCAGGGGATCGCTCCAACCCAGGGATTGAACCCAGGTCTCCCGCTTTGCAGGCGGATTCTTTACCAGCTGAGCCCCAAGGGAAGCCCTCGTCCAGGTGCACACCATTTCAACTTCATTTGCCTCTTTGTGTTCCTCAAACAGGCTGAATGTACTCTTGCTTTGAGGTTTCCGCATTTGCTGTTCTTTCCGCCAAAAATACTTCTCCCCTCCAAGAAACTTAAATGACTGTTTTCCTTACTTCTTTTTCATATCAGAAGAGCCTTCTCTACCTTTCCATTTTAAGTAGCAGTCCTGAGTGCTCTGTTTCCCTTATTTGTTCATTTTCCTTCATGGCCTTTATGACTGAATGAGATTACCTAGCTACTCGTTTCTCTGTATCACTAGACTAGACCCTATGAGGCAGGGTTTCCAGAGCTCAGACACATGCCTGGCACATTGTATGTACCCAGTGCATTTGTGTTGAATAAGTTCAAGTATCACAAAAATCAACTCCATAATTTTTAAACATAGGTTATATTTAAGGGGGAAAAAAACACAATGTCATTATATAATAATTTTAAAAAAATATATCAGTGTTCAAAAAATGCCAAAATCTTCCATATTTGTCTAGACTTGCAAGTATGAATCTGGTTATTTTCCTTACCTGAATTGTCAAAAACAAGTCAATTGAGTAAACATTTATTGAGTTCTTTTATGTATAAGGATCAATATGGAGAAAGCAAAGGTAGATTTTACTTGTTTTGAGTAAGTTTTGAATTGATCTTATTGAGGTGGTAAGCGAGGGTGTGGTTTGGAAAACTGAAGGAAACAGTTATAGTGTAGAAATCCCCGCTAAATGTTCAGAAATTATTTGATGAGTGATCTAAATGGTACCAAATGTTTTTTCAAAGCTCAGAAAAGGAATGAATTATATATGTGGTCACAAGCCAAGGAAAGGGCTCATAAAGGAAGTAGGATTTGGGGTAGATATACATAGCTGAGTAGCTGAAGTGGGAAGGATGTCATACTTAGTAGCTAATACACACGCAAAGACAGGAAACATGAGCAGTCATATCTGACTTTTCAGAAACGTATAGGATCAAGGAAGATGGGTCCGTAAATAGCAGCTGGAGATGGTTAATAATGTGCTTTAAAAATATTGCATGTAATTCAGTAGACAGTAAGGAACCGTCTTACAAAAACACACACACATACGTGAATTTCAAATATATACAAAAGCAGAAAAAAAAAAAAAGAAAACAGTACAAATAGCCCCTATGAATCGATCACCCACTGCCAACACTTATAAAACCATGGGCAACACTGTTTCACTGTATATGTCCACTCATTCACCTCCTCAACCATATTATTTTGAACAAATTGATATGTTATTTTATACACTTATCCAAAAAATCTTCACCATGTTTCCAATATACATGAATTCTTTTCAAGGAAAGCACACATAGCACTGTATTCTATACCTCAAAACTTAAAATGTTATTAATGTAATCAAAGATCTAGTTAGCCTTCATATTTGGGTTGAATTGAGAAAGTTATTTAGGAAGGAAACTTGGCAGAAGTCAGTGACTGTATTGAGTGAAGAGGAAGAATGACTCTAGCTCCCAGGTTTCTGGCCTGAGCACCAGAATGCATACTGGTATCTGAGTAAGAGGAATGCAGATGGATGAACAGGTTCTGTGTGTACATGCTTGTGTGTGTATATGTGTGTGTGTATGATGACAATGAAAAGCCGTTGGGTCATCAGGCTACAGGTATTCAATAGGCAGCTGGCATCAGATTTTGAGAAGAGGAAACGAGATGATAAATACAGTTGGGTCATATATCTTCTCCCATTTCCACAGGTTCTAGGCTTTCTGAGCAAAGAACACTGGCATCTGGAATAAAGGATCATTGAACAGCAAATATACCTTGGAGCTGAGATTAGTGTATTATTCCAGGGAGACCCAGAAGCTTCATTGAATTCCTTTGCTTACATTCCAACCTACCTTCTGAGGATAACAGACAGAGACCTGCTCCCCTCTCTGAAGAGGAAAGCAAAGGTCTCTCTCTGTTTCTCTATCTTCACCCCCTCTCTCCCTTCTGACACCCAAATCCCTCCACACCTCTCTTTCTGTCTCTATCAGACATGCCAACTCCCTTATATAAGCTCTGACGTTTCTGATACTGGGTTTTGTCTCTTGTACTGTAATCCATAGATGTACAGGTAAACATCTGGCCCTCACCTCACGTCTCATGGGCATTTGGGGCATGAGGATGAGTGCTAAGTTGCTCTTGAGTAATCACTTGTGTGTTCTCTGATTCAGAGATCACAT